CCACCAATTGATTATCGCGAGAACTCATGACCAATTTCGACAAGAAACAAAATAAGCAAGACACGATAATTCTCTTTTCAATTCTGATAGATCGACTTATTGCTACCTCAATCAATTTCACTGAAACAAAATGATATCAACTATCATACGCCCGCAGCATTGACAAGCTAGACATAAGCCCTGCAACTACGTTGAAAGAAATCTTCATTCCTAAGCTAAGCACATCATACTAAGGTTCGCCAACCCCAACGCTTAACGTCTGGGGAAATCTAAGCGAGTGCGCGGAGCTACTTTTCTAACAGGATAACATGTTCCCATGTTGAGCACAGTAATTCGGGTTTTCAGATGTACGTATACGTGCTCAGCTGTCCAGGCCAGTCCTGAGAGGTGAGCCCTTGGGGTGGATCAAGACGGTGCGGTGTACCCTACCTTCACGGCTGTCCAGCGGCAAATCCCTTCCGGGACCGACCATGCATGTCTCGCAAACACAGTCTTTAGTAATGAATCTTGCACAAACAATAATAATCAGTAATCATCGGATGACTAACTTAGGCGGGAAAGATCCATAGATCTTGACGCATTGTTGGGTGACAAATTCCAACTGCCGAGCCGCATGGCTCCTCGAAGAACCATGTTCGTGGCCCGCGACAGATTCCTGAGGCACACATACAAACTAATTGGAGTGCTGGGAGGCGTTTAGAATTAATAAGTGGGAAGCAACGCATAAGAGGGACACATGCGGAAAGTATAAGAGCATGTAATGGAAATTTGTGGAAGAGATTTGAAAATGTGAGATTTTTACGCACGATTATAGCCGAGTAGCATAAAAGGATTAATAGAGAACATAACAGTGTACATTGCAGCACCTACCCAAGGCTCAACAGGAGTGCATGACTCCACGGGGTAGTACTCCCTCCTTCTTTGCCTGCTCACATCAGGCTCATACCCACTGCCGTAGGTAAACCTATCATCATCATCATCCGGCTCACGACGTTGACAAGCCATCTCATAGTAAGCTCTCGTAGGGGAAGGTCTCTCGTTGTAGATCTCTGGTGGGGGATGGTGGGGACGAGCGTGGTGCTCAGGAGTTTCAGAATAATTGGTAGGGGCATTTCTGAAGCCAGAATCCTCCACATAAGGTGCCGATCGATGTACCTAAGCCTGGGCAATAAGGCGATGCATAAAACCACAACGTGACATACCGAACGGTTCTCAACTGTCGTTTCCTGCCAGTTCATAGAGTTCCTCGAGTTACTATCGGATAAGCGACTGCAGCTTATGACCTCCACAGGAAGAGGCGGTGGTGGTGGAGGAATCGACGACACCTGACCATGAACGTTGAGAATCTTCCCGGTGCGCAAAGATATCTTGCTGGGCGAGCGAGTTGCGCTCAAGTTGTGCAAATCACTCGGAGCGTTCAATAGACCTCTCCCCAGTTTCAATAGCGCTTCCAGTCTACGGCAGTACCCTCAGACTGGCGCCCTCCCTCCTTTTTCATGTTCGGCCGATCACAGTTGATAAACGTTCCCCCATGACTCGTATAAACTACCGTGCCAAACGTGTGAAATTCAGTTTCCACTCGAGAAAAATACCAACCCTCCTAAGATCGAGTTTCATATGTTAAATCCAATTCTGAGAGCGCTGTTAAAGCAGCCCAGGAGGGGTCTATTCAACATGCCGACTAAGAGAACTGCCGCGAACCTCACCGGGTTGCTCTGGAAATCCATAACCCTCTGTTCAAAGCTCTGTCGAGGTGGCGAATGCGATGGGCGACGGGGCGGCGGTGGGCAAGCTGGTTTCAGAGGCCTCAGTGGTTTCTTAGCTGAATATGCGTCCTTTGAAAATACAAACAGTGAAGGCCGAATCATACCAGACAGCTTGCCAGGGGGGTCCTCAGCGCGATTAACAACGATCGGATCACGAGACGGTGGAGATGGAATAGCCTCTTCTTCATAACTACGATACGCCTCAGCCTTCTTATGCTTCTTGCCTACTATAGAGATATGTTGGCACATTCATGTCGTTTCACCTGACCTTGGAGATGATTCACAACGTGCCACGGAGAGGCTAGTTGAGCGTCACACCACGCGCACTCCCACCCAAACTCGCT